CAGATGCTGCAACAGATGCTGCAGCAAAGGTTGTCATTGCTGGCCTGACTGCACGCTTCCGTGGCCTGGCTGCACGCTTCAGTGCCCCGGCAATTGTGGGCAGCAGTGGCCTGGCAGCTGTGGGCTGCGTTGGTCTGGTGGCTGTGGGCTGCGGTGTGAAATATTGTGCTCACCGGCTGAATTCAGATATTGGGGTGCGTAGTGATGTGGTAATAGTTCCAGTGGAAGAACTTTGTGTGCAGTATACCGACAATGGGTCCAAGTCCAAGGAGGATTAATTGTCATTGTCCAAGTATAGACTTATTATCTCTCTTTACTATTGGAAAAGACTCCTTAAAAATTGCTTACAAGTATTAAAGGTTGATGGATGGTGTGCACCATCTGCTATTTACCTGGAGATTGTTGTGATATTTGTGTTAAGTGGATGGAACCAAATGTTGTTCTCGGTTTTATTGTACATCTTTGTTGTATAATGTACTTTTCCCTTTGCATTTTAACGATTTCCCTCATTTCAAAGCCTGAAAATTAGGTTAATCATGAATTTAAAGTCAATTTTAAAATGAGTATAGTCAGTCTGCTGTAGTGGAATGATTGAACGCCCGGTAATTCAAACTGAAACTTTTTTCATTAACATTATGAAGAATTATTGGGGGGTTAAAGCCAACTATAGTCCCTCTACTTTCCTTTTTCATTCATTGTCCTACCTGTACTTTGAAACCATTTAAAGACCTCCCTCTACTCTCCCAAAACATACTATTGTCCTCCCTCTACTTTCAATCCTCATATTAGTTACCTCCCTCACCTAACGCCATTACTAACGCCAGTTACTAACACCACTACCATTACTATTTGCCATCCAACCTCCACCCATTTATTAATTTATTATTTTTTAATGAATTTCAATTATGACTCCATATGTTCCATATCACCTATTATATCGCCCATTATATCACCAACTTAGATTTGCCCCAGACTTATGAAAATAATATATATATAATTATTCTACCAATGAATAAAAAAATTAATTTGAAGGTATATAAAAATTAATTATAATTAATCTTAATTATAATTAAGATTATTGACTAAAGGATCAAATACACCTATAGTCTTAAACACAAACACAAGTTCTTCCTGGGGGTTCATCCACTTTTTTTTTTTTCCTAAGATAACAGAATAACCCAACTTAAGATTTAGCACAATAAAATCATTAATCACCAAAATCAAAGTAAGCATTTTAGAGCAATTAGTATAAGAATATCTCTTTTTGCTTTCGCTAAAATTGGCTACCCACAACATGCATGGCAATAGCCCCTTTTGGTAGATCGCCAAATGATACTTCGCATTGGCCAACTATCTTGTTGTTATGCAAAATTTTCTCAACATTTATTAGTTTGACATCATTGGCTAACTTAAGTGCAATTATTTTGTTTAAAACATATCATAATATTTAGATCCAATGTTAGTAGAAAGAAATGTCCAGCAATAAATCGATATGAGATACCAAATTATTCGAAATTATCTAAAATTTTTCAGTATAAATTTATTTTATTTTTTTATTATAGTTTTTGTGCTATGTGAAATTTTTTTGGACAAAAATATTTTTTAAGACAAAAATCTTTTTTTTAATAAAATTTATATATAGGAATATGAACAAAAAGACTAGAAATAATAAAAAAAAAACTTTTAATGACCAAAAGTGAAGAGTAATGATATATTTTGGTTCATTAACCAAATTATCCAAATAATTTCGAATAACCAAAGTTATAATTGAATTAAAATTTGGTTCAAATTGGGTATAGAAGTCTTATCCAAAATTATTTTAGATAACCAAAAATTTAGTTCAATTTGGATAATCCAAATAGAATGCCCAGTTCTACTTGTTTGACTCTATACAATTATTATAACGTACAAATTAATGGATTTTTTATGATTTCTCTTATTGTATTATCTATAAAAAAATAAATTTGATTAACGCAATTAAAAAATAAATTCATTAATCAATATATGATAGTTTATTTCAATAATTATTTTTCTTTATTTTCTTTTTTTATAATTAGGATATTTCAAAATCAATTTTTGTACACCTTCAAATTAATCCTTTAGTGACAATCCTAAAGGTGTAACTTCTACAGTGGTAAAAATAAATTGTATATGTATTGTTTTCATAAGTCTAGAGGCATATTTTGATTGATAACATGGTGGGTGACATGGAACATGTGGGATCTATAATTGAAATTCATCAAAAAATAATAAATTAAGGAATAGTAAAGGTTTGACGGCAAATAGTTAGAAATGGTGTTAGTAACGATGTTATGAAAATTGAAAGTAGAGGGAGGACTGTAGTATGTTTTGGAAGAGTAGAGGGAGGTCTTTGAATGATTTCAAAGTAGAGAGAGGAAAATGAACGAAAAAGGAAAGTAGAGGGACTATGGTTGGCTTTAACCATAAATTAATAAATGGTGCAGGTTGGATGGCAAATAGTAACGGGTGTTGGTGTTAGTAACAGAGTTAGTAATGGTGTTAGCAATGCGTTACGTGAGGGAGGTAACAAATATGGAATTTGAAAATAAAGAGAGGACAGTCACAGTAGTATGTTTTGGGAGAGTAGAGAAAGGTTTTGAACGATTTCAAAGTATAAGAAGGACAATGAATGAAAAAGGATAGAAGGACTATTGTTAGCTTTAACCCATTATTGGGTGGGTGCATTATTGAAGGAGGGTCCAAATAGGCTTCCTCATTAGTTGATGGCAACAAACTAGTATTTGTATCACACGATCCTACTTTGACATCAAATTAGATGATTATGTATAAATATTATTTTTTTGAAACATAAAATTATAATTTGTAAAATAAAAAATAACATTTTCTTTTTCCTAATTTTTTTTATCATTCTTAAAATTTAAATTTGAACCCTCTAATTTGAATTTTTAAATCTTTAATCATTTGAGACATTTTTTTTAAGTCATTTCTTTCCCCTCTAATTAACTATTACTATGGGTTCCTTTGTATATATTAAACTAAAAACTTGTTTTTTCAACCCAAATATAAAAACTTATCTACTGAGATGAAAGAATTCACAAAGAATTTATCAACTAATTAAGATTATATGTATTGTACATATTAGATATTACTGCATGCATTTAACAACTTGGTTTCGTGACCTAACCCCATCATGATCATAAATTTAAGAAGATATTTTTCCCATTCAAAGTGGCATGCGTGGTGGGAGACATTAGGAAACAAACACCATAAAAGTGGGACATTTTTCTCATATTTGATTTATAGGGCACCATGCCCTCTCACCTGGGTGTATCAAAGAAGTTAAGTCAAAAAAGAAGTACTCCATTAGACTAAAAATGGACCGTCGGCTTATAGTAGGCCCCACTTGCAACCCATTTCTGTCGAGCAGTCCCTGCCTTTCTCGAAGTGCTACCGCCCAAACAAGAATGGAGGACTTTTTATTTTTTATTTTTTAAAAGAAAACCAAAATAGAACAGATTCATACTTGTTAGTGTATGTCTGCATCAAATTCTTATATCTTAGCCTTATTCAAATTTTCAAGTAGAACAAAAAAGCCACCCACTTAAACCAAACCAGGAAGAATTTCATATTGTTTAATTCCCAAGAAAT